GCGCCGGCCAGCGCTGGGGCTTCCCGCTGAGCCGCGGCCGCCGGCAGCCGACCGAGTGCGGGCGCCGGGCCGCCGCCTGCGCGCCCCGAGTGGCGCAGGGCGGCCGCCGCGGTGGCGCGGGCGTCGGGGGCTGGACTCGCGCAGGTAGGTCGGGGTGGGACGCCCCTGCTCGCGGAAGAGGTGCCGACCGGACCCGGGTGCCGGAGGTTGAGGACGGGGTGAGGGGGCGCAGCAGGTGGGGGTGGCCGAACAGGTGCGGTTACCTGTCCACCCTCCCCTGCGAGCTGGGCGTGCGGGCAGCTGGCCGCGCCGGAGCGAAGAGTCCCGGCCTCGCCGCTCCCTCGTCCCCGTCCGCAGCGAGGCGGTCCGCGCTCTGCCCCGGCGTTCCGGGCGCTGCACCTGAATGTGGGTCCTGGGGCGGTGTGGGGGCGCGGTTCTGGTTGTGCCGGCTGGGGTCTCGCCCCGGGGTGATGAGCCCTCTCCCGGGGGAGTACGCGTGGGGTCGCTCTCCTGTGCCCCCTGCCCTGGCGCTGTTGACAAACATTTTGTGCTCATTGGACACTCATTGTTCCCCTACAGTGTGATGGTGGTGTTGGCATCCGTTTGTTAGCTGGAGAAGGGGGCAACCTAAGAGAGAAGCTAAGAGTTTCCTCCTCGCGGGGGGCAGAGGAGGTCAGAAGGGAGGAGGCATTGTTTCTTCATTACTCTGTGTCCTCAACCGACTGCCCAAAGTCCATAGGTTGCCTTTAGATGACTTCTGTGGAAGACCTTCCTTTGTGGTCAGAAAGACACCGTGTTAGCTAGCGCCCCTCCCACCTCCCCCCAAGACAAGAGCAAAACTAAATTTAAAAGCAACTTGCACGTGAACTTCCTTCAATATAATTGCCTTGCCTAAAGACTTAAAAAAAAAAAACTTTGTAAAAAGATATCGCTATGAAACTTCTCAGTGTGCAAACATGCAGCCAACTTAAAATGGGAAATGTGTTCACCTCTTTCTAAGAAGAAGTTAAATGGCATGTGTCGTTATCAGGCTGTCCTGTGTCGTAAACACAAGTGTAGGGTTGAAGCGCACAGAAGAATCCAAAGGCAGTGTCGTTATTTAACGGTTCCTGTGCCCTGCATGTGTTCAGGTTACACCTCCCTGCGAACCCCCAATGCTCCCTGAGTCGAGGGTGCCACGGTGACTTTCTTTGGCCCCTGGCGTTCCTAATCCGCAGCTTCACTCTTGAAGGCAAATGACGGCTAATCTCTGATGTAATTGGGCCAGTGCGATTGAAGATTATAAACCCTAACAGTCTGCTCTGCTCTTAGTTCAGGTAGTGAAGTGGGCAGAGTTGTCACTGAGTCCACAGTTGAATCGTGGCACTTTTCTTATACCTACTATCCCCACAAAATGTTTTTTTTTCCGAAAAAAAAATGTTAGAATGAAATTTACTGTTCTTTGAAACTTACTGTGTTTCTTCCATTGGAAAGGTATTCTGATGTGTCCAGCCCAACATGAATGTTTTCACATCTGGAGTGATTTCATTTGACGAGTTAAAATCTGCTTTTTGAAGACCATCCCCATTGCTGTTTTCTTCTTTATTTTTTAAATTTAATTTTATTGTTGACAGTATTATTCAGAATCCTCATAATGAAAGCAACATTCATTATGTTGATGAGAAGGTACCAGGTCGTCCAAGTTTTTTATTTAATAGACTTTATTCTTTAGGGTAGTTTTAGATTCACAGCAAAATTGAGAGTAAAGTGCAGAGATTTCACATATACGCCCTCCCCCTACTCATTTATAACCTCCCCCTATATCAGCATGGCCCACCGGAGTGGTCCATTTGTTACAGTGGATGAACCTATATTGACAACAGTATCATTACCCTGAGTCCATACTACACATTTGGGTTCACTTTTGGTGTTGTACATTTTATGAGTTTGGATAAATGTGTAATAAAGTGTATCCATCATTGTAGTATCATCAGAGTATGATACTATAGTATCACTTCCCTAAAAAAAAAAAAAAAATCCTGTTTTCCACTATTCATCCCTTCCTCTCCCCAACCCCTAGCAACCACTGATATTTTTACCATAGCCATAGTTTTGCCTTTTCCAGAATGTCATATAAGCTGAAATCATTAGCGTCTGTTGCCTTCTTGTACTTAGTAATATGCATTTAAGTTTCCTCCATGCCTTTTCGTGGCTTGATAACTTATTTCTTTTGAGTACTGAATAATATTCCATTATCCCTCCAAGATTTTGTTTAGACTGTGTGGGTATTTTCCTGCAGTGGTCTGAAATTTGTAATTTTTTGGTTTTGTTTTCTGAGATTGAGAGGGGCAAATATTATATTTAGAAGACTCTTGCTTTAACCAAAGTTTTTATTTGTAAACAAGTTTTTATTTTTTTATTTTCAAATCCTTTTTGATGGCATATGAGTATTTTTATGTTCCTTTTTTATTTTGTGCCCATATAAAAATAGTCTATTTAATCTAATCCCCGATTTCCATTTACTGTCTCTCAAGATTGAATTTCTGAATTTTTATTATTATGCCATTTAAAAGTGAGTTTCCTCTGAAAGTCCTCTGAGAGAAGATGGGAGGATCCCTAACCATTGCCTGCATGACTTTATTTTTTTTCATCCTCAGCTGACGATATGTTCATTATTGATTTTTTTTTTCTTAAGGAGAGAGGGATGGGATGAGAGAGAGAGAGAGAGAGGAGAGAAGAGAAACATTGATGTGAGAGAAACATGGATTAGCTGCCTCCCAAATGTGCCCTGACCAAGGATCAAACCCTCAACCTCTGAATGTTCCTGGCTAGAAATTGAACTGGCAATCTTTTGGTTTATGGGATGATGCTCCAACCAACTGAGCCACCCAGCCAGGGCCTGACTTTTATTTTTTTTTTCTTTAATATATTTTTATTGATTTTAGAGAGGAAGGGAGAGGGAGAAAGAGAAAGAAACATCAATGATAAGAGAGAATCATTAAGCTGCTGCCTCCTGCACGTCCTACTGGGGATCCAGCCCTCAACCCGGGCATGTGCCCTTGACCGAAACCGAACTTGGGACCTTCAGTCCACAGGCTGACGCTCTATCCACTGAGCCAACCCAGCGAGGGCCTGAATTTTATTTTTGTTCTCCTTTTCAACATCCTTCTAGCCTACACTGATATTTCAGTAACGAATGTCTGCTGAACCTGACGTGTTACTCCTGACTTGGTGGAATGATTCGCATTGCTTTCCATGTAGGAAGCATGTCTCTCCCTGTTGTCCTGCCTCCAGAGCACAGGATCCTGCAGCAGTTTAGACCTGTGACCAACCAGAACGAATTTGAGAGGCCCAATTATAGCACAATTTATTTAACCAATTATAAAATGCCTTCTAATTTGTGCCATGTCTGTTTTCATATTGCTGCTTTTTCTTTCATTGCCATTGCCTATTTCCACTTTTTTCCATCTGTAGCTTCTAAATTTCCTACATACCTTTATGACAGTTTTTTTCTAGTATTTAAAATACTCTCTTTGGTGGGCATAGCTTATTTTTTTTTTCTTCTCTGGGTCATTATGATCTTAAATAAAAGTAGGCCTAACTGCAGTCACTGAATCTCTCTTCAAAGATCTTAACACTGCTGTTGATTTAGAAATTCAACAAAGGGTAATAATAAAACCCCTGTCCTACAACTGCCTTTCACTTAGGATTCTACTCCACTCCAACATCATTTAAATGCACGTCGGTGGTGTTGTGAATTGTGTAAAGGAAATGAATAAGTTGTCAGTTTCAACCTTGATCTTTCCTTTTGCCTTTTGACCTTTATGCTGTCGTTGATATGGGTCAATCTGCTTGTGCTTTTCCAGACTGTATCTTTGAACTTCATCTCCTACTTCTTCACTTCAGAGTTTCTTATAACTCTTCTTGCCTCTCTGATCCTGTGGCCATTTCCAGAGCTCCATTCTACAATGCCTGCTCCTCAGCCAGCAGCATCTTTCACAGAAGCTACCAGCTGCACAGCTTCTATTCCCCTTCTGGTTCCAGCTCCATGCAGGTACCTGAGATCATCCTCTTCCCGTCTCTGAGGGAGGCTAAATTCCTCACTGTCAACTAGCATATTCCTTCTGATCGTTTCTCAAGTGTGCCAATTTGAGAGCATGTTCAAACCTCCCTTCCTCGGTCAAGCTCCTCTGCAGCATTTTCATACCACCCCCACCCCCAATCTATTGCAAATTGTAAGTAGGAGTTCTTCAGGCTTCTGCCTAAGAGCATGGACTTTGCAGGTCTGGGTTTGGATGAGTTGCTGGGTTAAGATTAGCTGCCAATTACAGAGACCGCAGAGAACAATGGCTTAAACAAAGTGACGTTTGTTTCTCTTTCACACTAAAAAAGAAAAAAAAAGTTTACAGAGGAACACTCCAGGGCTGGCATGATGGTTTTACAGTCTTCTGAGACCTAGGCTAGTTCCACCTTTTAGATCTATCATACCTCAGGCGAGGCCCTCAAGTTTATGGTCGTCCTTGGTGGAGCTTCAGCCATCACATCCAGGTTCAAGTCCTGTAGTAGAAAGACGGGAAGGAGACAGAGGAAAGGCAAAAGCCTTTCTTAAGGAAGGTCTTTTAAGGAACATTTCTCATGCTGTCATATACTTCTTGTTACATCTCATTGGCCAGAACTTAGTGATGTGGCCTCACCTAGCTGGAGTAGAGATGTTATAATATTGTCCTTATTTCAGATACCTTATGCCCAGCTAAAATGTGGGAGATTCACCTCCTTAGGAAAAAGGAGAGAATGAACACTGGGTAGCCAAACACCACAGTTCCTCTACAACTCTTTCTTGACCAATATTACCCATCACACAGGATTCTTAACAATTAAAAGAAATATTATACATGAAACTATCCAATACAGTGTCTGGCATAACACAGGTTTTCAGTCAATGTTAGTTCATATTCCTCCTTATTCCTCTTTCAGGAATTGCCTAGTTTCCCTGTTGCAACATCATTGGCATCCAAACCCTATTTTAAGTAGTTAGGCATTTGCCCAGTTGGTGGTATCAGATTGTATGCTTGTACCTTTTCATAGGAGAGGGCAACACATTATTACTCAATGTCAGCATTTATTTCTTAGCTTAAAACATGGCTTAGATGAAAAACATAGCTCTT